ACTTCAGGGTTAGCAGTGCAATGCTGAACCCACTTTGCCCAGTGCCCCTATGTGCCAGTCTTTACCTCTTTGATCCCACAAGACCTGCACATATAATTTTCCTCAATTTAAGACAAAACAAAGCATAACCCAAAGCCCAAGGCTCAGGAGGCTTCAGTAGTCTGTGCAGGACAAACATGTTGCTGGTCCTAGAAAGCAGTGACGACTCTGGCCTAGGCACACCGGCTGCAGAGCCTGTGCTCGGTCCACTTGAGCACACACCGCTCCCTTCTCCAGCGGTCTAATAAATGGCAGCGTCCATGTTCTGTACATTCACAATGATTGCTTGGTCATCAACAGGTCTTCCCGCAGACTGGAGTTGATTTCTGGTGTGCTGCAGAGGCTCCAGGGGCCTGGACAGATACTCTCAAGAGAGTAGGACACTCTTAAAACATGGTGATTATGAGGGGGTTTCAAATGTTCAGAGGAAAATGGAATTAAAAGATACTGAAATTTTCCCAAACTTTGTTGAAGCGCTTTCACATGTGTTCAACTATCAGGGAGGGTTTATCCTGCCCGCAACTGCTCAAAATAATCATGAAGTTCACTTCAAAATAGTCACCAACCATAACATTCCAATGCCACACGCAGGAGCATGGCCTGGCTTTCCTTTTAGGACACTCTGCCTTAAAGTTTGACAGCCTCGAGAACTCTACCAAGGGTTGCTGGAAGTTGGAATCCAGTTCTGGTTGGCTTCTATGACCTTTCAGGAAATGTCTCTAGCCTTCTCCACAGAGAAAGCACCTGCCTCGTTACGGCTGTACCTCAGTTGCTTAGTGGTTTTTTTGTCCGACTGTGACCACAACGTGTTTCCTCACCACCCCTCCACTCCTTTTCTATGAAGACCTTATTTTCGGCAACCAGAAAGTGGTACATTTCACTTAAACTTTGGGAACCTGATCACTTTATCATCATTTTCTGGTAATAATTTCTATAATTCTCTTGTTTCCCTAGCAATAGCATCTACATACTTCCCTTCTTGTCACTCAAGAGCCTCCCTCACGTCTATCTCATCTATCACTGCTTTGGTAATAGTTAGATGAGCCATAAGGCGCTCTGGTGGTGTAGTGGGTTACCATTGGGCTGCCAACCACCAAGGACAACAGTTCAAACCCACCAGCCATTCCAAGGATGAACAGTGAGTTTTTTTGTTCCCACAGAGATTTAAAGTCTTGGAAACCCACAGGGGCAGCTCGACCCTACTCAACAGGGTTACTAACAGTCAGAATAGATTTGATGTCCGTGAATTTTATATAAACAATAGAAAATACCCTCTATCCCATCCCCAATTTTAACTTGACTTTGATATTTCTCTCAAGCATAATGTGGACAACCAGTTTAGCATATATGTGTATGTCCTTAGAGCATTATCAAGAAACAGCCTTTGTATTTCATTTTTAAAAGAATAGAATTTAGGATTTAGTTTTAAATCAGACGCCTACTTTGGTCTAAATTTAGCTGTTAAAGAGACTTCAAATGAACTCCCAAGGAAAAGACCCTACCTCTTCTAAGCAGACCTGGGGAACGGCCTGCCAACTGCTATCTCCACATCTATCCAACAGCCCCCTCTCCACTCTGCACGTAGCAGCTGGAGTGGTTTACAATGTAAATCTGATTATCTCACTCAGGACAACATGCATCCTCAAACAGGCAGTACAAGACCCTACACGACCTGGCCCCTTGCCTAGCCACGCTGCCCCCTCACTCACTACCATCTCTCCGTTCCCGAGTGGGTGAAGCTTTTCCCCCTTCAGGGCCTTCCCACAAGCTGCTTCTCTGCCTGGAAAATTACCCCCGCTTCACTCTACACTCCCGCCTACTCACCCTTCCGATCTCAGCAAAGACGTCTCTCCTGGGCCTCCTTGCCCAAACCGATCGTCTAGTTCCCGGGTTACTCTCTCTCACTGCAGGCTGCGCTGAACTTTCATGGCAGGTCTCACAGCATCTGATTGTACATGCAGCTGTGTGCCTGTGTTTAACTTTTCTTTCTCCCCATGATAACCTCCAAAAGCATAGATATTGTTGATTTTATTGGCCCCCCCTCCCGAGACCCTCAAATATTTTTAAATGTAAGGAAAATGCCTACAAAGTCCAGAATTGCATCTAACTGAAGCCTGGAAGTGACACGTCACTTAATATTTAAATTGCTAAGACTCTTATACTACCTACAAATTCCCCTTAGGGCATAAAAGCTAGCCCGAAACTACTGCTGTCACAAGGAAAACACACACACTCATTCTCATCGCTAGGAAGCTACATTGTGTCTAAATACTACATACAAGGAGAGTTGTGTTTGATCTGGGGCTCAATTTGCTGCTAAGAACGCTTCTAAAAGTCTAACGTATTAGCAGTTCTTGATAAAAATCAATCACAACAAAATTACAAATTAAAGCATTCCAAGCTGACTATCTCTAGTAGGAGTAAGATCCATGTGAGATCAAAAAAGAAGATATAAACTAAACTGCAGGCATGTTTTGAATCACAAAGGGTAATAAAACCAGTATTTATGCACCACCTCACACTTTACAAGGCATTTTCACACACAGTCGATGGCTGACCACTAAGGAAGACAGAGCAGGCTTCGTAGCTCGTTCTGAGAAGGGCAGTAAGGAACTCTGGTTGCACTATGGGTGAGGCACTGGGCTGCTAACCGGAACCAGCCGCTGCTCAGGAAAAAAGGGGAGGCTGTCCCCTTCCATGAAGACTGGCAAGTCTTGGAAGCCTTGCAGTGTTCCGAGTGGCATCAGCTTGATGGCAGTGGGTTTGGTTTTCGCTTTCAAAAAGTGATTCAAGTGTCCTCTCCAAGGTCATGGGACATGGAATGTGGGGCACATGTAAATTTGTTAAAAGAATCTCCCTCATAATCACCCTGTCTCTAATGAGTGAAGATCTGGGCCCCTTTATAAAAACTACGCTTTATTTAACTTTGCTAGAGTATAAGAGCAAATGAAGCCTTAAAATCGCCATCTATCTGGAAAAGGCACAATGTGCTAAGGCAGTGGTTCTCAACCTGTGGGTCGAGACCCCTTTGGGGGTCAAACGACCCTTTCACAGGGGTCGGCCGATTCATCACAGTAGCAAAACGACAGTGATGAAGTAGCAACAAAAATCATTTTATGGTAGGGGGGTCACCACAACATGAGGAACTGTATGAAAGGGTGGCAGCATTAGGCAGGTTGAGGAGCACTGCACTAAGGCATACCCCCCTATGGAAGAGGTTGCAGCAGTTCTTGAAGATGAGTTAAGCACTGTATGTTAGGACCGCACTTGCTCAAACAGACAAATGCGCACGTGAACAGGTATGTAGAAATGTTGTCAAAGATCGGAAAGGATAATAACTGGTGGTTTTCTCTGGAAAGGGGGGGGCAGAGGCACTGGCAGAGACTTTGGCCACCTCAGGGATGTTTAACAGGGACCCCTGGTGGCACAATGGCTTAAGTGTTGGGTTGCTAGCCAAGAGGTCAATAGATCAGCAGATCCCAAACCACCAGGTGCTCCAGGAAAGAAAGATGAGGCTGTCTGCTCCAGTGAGGATTTTCAGTCTTAGAAACCCTCTGGGGGAACTTCTACTTTGTCCTACAGGTCACCACGAGCAGAAATTGACTTGACGGCAATAGACTGGGGCTTGGTCTGTGATGTTTTAATTTTTACAAAGAAAACGTGTGACTTTACAAACTTTACAATTTCGGAAGATGTAACTGAACCTGTGGATTGATTGGGCAGGCAGCCCCTGTTGGTGCTCCGGAAGGAGGGACCCCCCTAAAGAGAGACCGAATGTGTAAACAAGAGCGGTGCCATCCTGTGAAAACCACAAGCTGTCTACATTTCACAACTGTCCCCTGAAAAGGGCCAGGGTTGGAAATATTTTGTAAAAAGCTGGCCTCCTTCCTTTGTTGCAGTCAGACACCAACACAACGCTCGCCCAGAACTCTGCTGGGTAAGCTCCGGAGGAGACAGAAAAGTCAGAGTTGGGGCAAGAAAGGTTTCACAAAGGAGCCGAGTTTTGCTGAAACGGGCGACGGGGCTGGCAACACCGTGGGGCAATGTATCCAGAGGGGAGCGCCCAGGGGTGCAGAATGCGATGGAAGTGCAAGCGGGGCGGGAAGAAGGGACGCTGCACTCGGGTCCTGCCCCCGGAGTGGCTGCCCCCGGGTGTGGGGCAGAGAGGGCCCGTTTACCTGGGGAGACTCCGGCCCTCGCCGTGGTCAGACAATGGAGGCGTCCGGCGGCCGCAGCGTCCGGCGCTGGGGGCGCGGGAGGGCACATCGCCTGAGGGGTGCTCGGCCGGCTCGCTGGCCCGGAAGGCGCTGGAAAGAGAAGCACATCACAGCATGCAGCTCGCCCCTCCGCAGCCCAGGTTGGCGCCCCGACCCCCGCCGCGGCCATTACCGCCTCCCCCGGGACCCGCCTGGACCGGCTCCAAGCCGCGGTCGCTCGAGCGGCCAGGCGGTGCGGTTCCCGCTGCCCGTGGCTCCACAACAATGGGGCCCGGCCCGGAGTCCGGCTCCCGCGGGGCGGCCGGCCCGGCCCTGCCCGCCGCCATCTGTGCGCCCCTCTCCCGGCTCCCCGCTGTGGGCCCGGGACCCTGTCGGCAGCCCGGAGGCGGCGTCTCTGACGGGACCCGCCCAGGGGCCACCGGCCGCGGGGAGCGGCCCTGACCTTCCCGGCCGGTGCCCCCCACCGGCCGCCGCGGCAGGCCCATGCCGAGTGATGGGTTGTTTTCCTTTCTTTAATCCACTCATTCTCCCTCCCAGCCCGCGCCCCTGCCCCCCACCCGCCTGCAGCCGGAAGAGAAATAGAAAGACCGCAGCTGGCCGCCCGGGAACTCACTCCGAGTGCGGGCTGAAGCACCCCAGGCCGCGGGCTCTGCGTACCCACCCTCCCGCTCCTCAGGGGACACCTCACAGGTGCGCCTCCGAGCCGCGCGCGCGCGCTCCGCACACCCAG